AGGATTGGTGCAGGCGATAGTGGCGACGGCCGCCTCTGACACACGCGTTTGGTGTGTACGGACGGGCAGCTAGGGCAGACAGCTCACCAAATCTGGGCAGCCCTAGGTCAGATATCTCACCCCTATATAAAGGGGGTGAGCCTTTCTTCTTCAAGACGATCATTCTATTACTCTTGAGAATTGATTGAATATACACTGACTTAAGCATCGGAGGCTCTTCACCGGAAAACCCCTCCGGTGTGAGAGTTCTTTGTAGGTACACGACGTTCAACCGGCGAGAAGGAAGGCGATTACTCAAGTTCCAGCCGGTCGAGGAGTTTTGTGTTACCAGTTAGTATCACAATAATTAAAAATAATATAAATTTGTATATCAAAAGATTATATAACTAATATAGTAAAATACCATCATTGTTGAATAGTCACCGCTGTCTGCAAAGAATGTCATCCGAAAAAGATTGCCAACATCTTGTCCATACCTCTTTCGGTCTACCGAAGGAACCAAAAACCAACAATGATGCGAACATGCGTCTCAGAGAGACTGCAGATGCCCACTGACTTGCTTCAGTTATGCCGTCTATGTACTCTCTATCATCCTCCAATAAACCCCTTTTGTAGCAAGCATCTCGATATGTAATATACGGAGCATCTCTAACCTTCATGAAGTCCTCATGGCATGTTTCACCACGAACAACATTGATCAAACACCTCAAATAGTAATCATCCCCACACCCAGGAGGTACATACCGCAGATGACCAACAGATGGTTGGTCTTCGTTTTTTCTAGGAGTCCACTCGCGAGTTGGTTTATTCCAAACGAATTTTGACGGGGCCTCAACATAAGTTAGTTCCCTTGCTGCCAGATATTTTTTGTTCGCCTCAAACCACGCAAGAAATTGGCTCTCTCCGACAGAGGGTTTACTAAGAACATACTCAAGATTATCATCATCGCCAAAGAAAACTTGATGTTGTCATTTCAAATGGAAACTCAACCGCTGAATAGGAGGTTTTTTGTATTGCAACTCGTAACCCAACAAACGCCATGCAGCCTCACATGAAGAAATGTAACTGCAATCATAGTACATTTTTATCTCATCCAAAGGTTTTTCAGGTTCCCCTTCAGCTGACATTTGATAGAAAGATGTCGTCACACGATCGTGGCCTTTGTTGACATATTTGAAGAGGTACTTTATTGATCGTGATTGATTGCACCACTCCACGTTGATATGAGCTCCGAATTTCATCAAAAGGCCACGGTTATGAGGCACGACATATCCATTGTGGACAACAACACCATTTTTGTCAATAGACCTCCCATCATCACGACGTATGTACTGAGGATAATTTTCTTCATCAACAGTGGTTGACTCGACAAACTGTTTTGGAAAACGCTTACTGCATTTCCCATCAACCATACACGTCGAACCTTTTCGTACCAAACCACACGGCCCGTGAATCATGTGCTCCTTCACGGCTTCATAATACAAAGGATCAGATAATTCGTCTGGAATCTCAGCTGATATGATGCTATCAATGTCGCAAGGATTAGGGAACTTGTTATCCTTATCTAGAAAAAAAAGTATATGAGCATGGGGCAATCCACGTTTTTGAAACTCAATGGTGTAGACAACTGCACAATAAAGGATGTATCAAAATTACTAATACAAATTAAAATTAATATATTGCTAAAGAAAAAATTA